TCTTCTTCAAATTCATACTCTTCATCATCATTTTCAAGAACAGGTTTCTCAAGTTCTCTCTTGAGACCAATTAGCTTCATTGTAAATCTCTGTTGTGTACAGATGACTGGGATGATTATGAATTCTTCTTCAACTTCAAAACTCAAAAGTTCTTTATCCCAATTTAAAATGGCTTTGGATTATTTAGCTCATTGATTGCCAAGCAATAGGTCATACTCAGCTTTTTCCATAACCAGAGTATTAATTTGTTGACTTAGGTCTCTAATTTGTATTTTTAACTCTTCTATCTCTCCTAATGGTCATTCAGGCTTGCTATTTATACCTATAAGATTGATGTTGAAGGACTTATCAATCTTTCTTTCTGCTTGACTTAAAAATCTGGCTGACACAACATTACTGACTGATCCACTGTCAATTATTATTCTAGTAAGTTGGCCTTCTACTTTTCCTTCACAATGAATTGCATCTACTACTTTTCCATTCTTTTTTTCTAAGCTTTTATTTTCTTCTATGATTTCAGTTAATAATTGCTGCAAAAATATTTTTGAAGATTTTTAAGGTTAACTCATATTCTGATCTTCTTCAGATATGGACTCTAGTTTAAATGTGAGATATTACTATTATTAGTGATAATATTAGGAATTATAATCATTATAGACTATCCACCTAGAAGCTGCTATAATTGTTATAATAATAGATTATTATCTGGTACTGTGATGGTGGTATTGGTTCTCAAGTTGATTGATTGTCTTGTATTCATATTTTTTTCTGTGCAGTTATTAGCATAATATCCTATTTTATTGCATTTGAAGCATTTTATATTTTGAATATTATTATTACTATTACTACTTGTATTCTTTTTTGATAATCTGTAGTCTCAAACTATGTAGTTATTTTTATCACAGTTATAGCAAGTTTTTTCTTGATTGGAATGACTACTAGAATTTTGATTATTTTGAGCAAATAATCTTTTTACTTGTTCTGTCAAGTCAGCTATAGCTTTACTCATATCATTTATTAGATTTGGAATAGAAAAGGGAATGCCAAGATTTTGTGATATAATTGAGATGGAATTAAGGGAGTTTTGATATATTTGTCTATAGTTTGATTTAGTACTGATTGCCTCTGTGATTGCTGCATCTAGAGTATTGGAACTAGATTTATTCACATAAAAGGCAATCTTTGGCTTTAAGTCTTTTATGAATTACTCAATATAGTAAGTAGCTGGATATATACTTGTTGGATCAATTTTTCTAAGTAATGTGCAGATATTCTCAGCATATGAAGTCACATCCTCACTTGTTCCTTGTATTCTTAATCTCAGTTATTATTGTCAAGCTAATACTTGAGCATTAGTTCTGAATTGTGTAATGAAAGTTTGGTAAAATGAATTATTATTATTATTACCATTCCAACTGGTTGGCCAATCAGTATTTACAAGCTTTCTTTACTGATACCAAGTTAAAGTGATTTCTCTCAAGTAAGCAGGCACTATCTTTATTTTTCTGGAATTTATTATGTTATTTGTATTTACTGCTCAAGTAAACTTCTCAATCTAATTCATAGGATCTTCATGTGTTCCACCACTAAAAAAGAGAATTGATACTGTTGACAATTCAACCTGTCTATTTTGTTGATTTTGCATTGCCTGAACAAGTGACATGAGCATTTGGGCTAGAGCTTGTACAGCTTGATCTGCTATTTCTTTTTCTTGGTTTCTTTGAGGCTGAAGTAGTGATGAATCTAGAATAATAGGTTGCTGAACTTCTTCTTCTTCTGAGAATTCTACTTCAGTATTTTCAGGTTGGACTGAGATTCTTCTTCTATATAGAAGATTAGTAAAAAATATATTGGGAGTTGAAGCTGAAGTTGATGATGAGGGAACTGAAGTGGAGATTCTGACTGATATGTTAACTAAAGTGCTAGATCTTGATCTTTGTGTGTGATGTGTTCTCTGCTAGTTAAATATGACTATTTTCTCATATAGATTATGAATAATATTAGCTATTTCAGTTGCAGGACGAGTTAAATATTTTTGAAACCAAAGTTGTAGTTGATATTTGTTAGTTGAAACTTCTGTTCTTGATATGTTAGTAACAAATAAATTATAGATTAGTTAACGTAAGTCTTTTTCTTATTATCTAGATAGTCGAGATGAATTAAAAAGATTAGTTAATCTTTGAAGTTGTCTTTCTATTTTGTAGTCAGTTAATTTTGTTAGATCCAGTTTAAACTATTTCTGAGGTTATTAATTTTATTTCAGTTTTATCTCCACAGAGAGAGTACCAAAAAGATTGTTATTATTTTAAGATTATGCGTATATAATTATTTTAAAATGGTAATAATAACTGTGTTCATAACAATTATTTACTTTTATAACTTCAAGAGATTGTATGACTGATTATTCTTTCAATAAGGTGATATGTATAAGATTTTACTTTTAACAAAAATGTGATTATCTTCTTAATAAGATAATTTATATGCATTTTACTTATAATAAAAATATGATTATCTTCTTAATAAGATAATATACGTAAATTTACTTCTAATAAAATACTTTTTTAATAGAGCAAGAAGAAAATAAGATAAGATATAAGATAAAATATGTGTGTTTATTAAGGAAAAACACTAATTAACTACTCTTAACTCAATAGTAATTACTTCTACCAAACTTAATTATTCTTCTTGATTACTTCTTAACTCTCTATATATAGTATTTTCTTTGTTATGCTAATTACAAATCATTTCTAACATGATATTTTACTTAATTTAACCAAGAACAAGTAAAATTTAAAAATAAAAATTACAAGAAATATTAAATACATGATAATAAAGAATTTAAAATTAGTGAGACATTAAATTATTCAAAGCTAAAGCGAGAAATGAAAGAAAATTAATAATAATTAATTAGAAAATTATTAATTTAATAAAACTATAAATTAAGTATGACATACATGGCTAAATTAATATTTGAATAAGACTAAATATAGATAATAATATAGATTAAAAATAGAATTAATTATAAATAAGATTAATTAATATAAATTACTTATTCACCTGATTTAGTAGTAATTAGTAATTACTGTACCACATGTTGCAGCTATATCATATGCTATGCTATATAAATAAGTGATTAGTTATAATATCAGAACATGATCTATTATTAATATAATTATCATATTTTAAAATAGTGGTACTAATAAGATACATAGTAAACTTATTTCAAATTTTATATATATATGAAATTTGAGAATTAAATCTTCTAGAATTTAGAAACAAAAATAAAATAATACTAAAAAATAAAATAATATTTCAGATATTAAAAATACTAATATTATTTCTGACTAAGTCAATTATTATAGAAATTTTAATACTAAAGTTTTTAAAAATCTTTTTATAATACTTTATAAAATAATTAATAAAATATATAGTTTAGTAAATATTCATATAGATAGTAAATACAGTCAATTCTCTTTATAAGAACATGATTAGGCCAGAAAATTGGGTTCTTATATAAAGGTATTCTTATAAATAAAAAATCTCTTTATAAGAATATTATATATATAGTATTGGATAAAGTTCTTATATAGGAGTTTTATTAATAAAAAAACTTGCTAACATATTTTCATACAAAAATTATTATTTAAACTCATCAAGCATTCAAACTTGTCTGTTTTTTCACTTTAATTTTCATCACTTCAAAAATTAGTACCTTTTTGCATAATATTTTTATCTCATTATTATTAAATATAATTTCTGTTTGTTCATAAAATGTGATAAGGATTTTTAACGTATTACTTACTTCTATTATGAATATGGAAGATGACAGAGATTTTTCATTTTCCTCATCCTAATTAAGTATGTCATTTTCTATCATATCATCAGCCTAAAACATATCAATAATTTCACTATTCTCAAGTAATTCTTCTGTTATAACAGGCTCTTTAATAACATTAATATATACTTTCATATCTTGAACAAGATGTTGAACAGCTTGATCAGTAGTATCAAGATAATGTAAAGAATTCAGAATCTTATTTCGTGTGTCTAAAGCTTCATTTAACATATCATTTACTTGAGTATCTGTAGTATCAGTTTCAGAAAGAATTCCTGTTAAATTCCAGTAATTTCATATTGTTTCTTGTATAACCTCATTCCAAATGTGAGAAGTATAATCAATTACTTGTTTTATATTCAATTTGTTCCTAAAAACATAAAAAAAGAGTGATAAGTTAAAGAATAGTGGAATGAGAGAAGAGAATGGTGATGTGGAAGAAGAGGATAGTGGAGTAGGAGAAGAGAAATAGTAGAGTAAGGAAGAAAAATAGTGGAAAATGAGTCAGAAATAAGAAATTAATAAATAATGAAGTCAGACAGATCATAATTGATTTGTCTGCTGATTTTTCAATTTTTTATTAAAATTATTATAGAACATACTTTGTAATATTAATTCTATGCTCAAATTGGTTTAGAATGTAATAGTAATAATACTAATGATAGTATGCTTTAAAGAACTTGATAATTTCTACGTCAAGTAGTTGCAAGTGAGCAGTTATATTTGGTAGAAGATAATAAACATGGACGTTTATGAGATAGAGTGGTGGTTAAGAAGAATTTTCAGTCATAATCTAAGCTTTCTTGCCTTTTTTTTTGCTTTTTGTAGCCACTCATCCTCATGGCCGATCTCACTTTCTGTAATTACTAGTAGAACTTTCTGCAATTGGTTTATTTTCTTTCTCACTTAATAAACTAACATTATTTTCTTCTATTATCTCATGTAAATCATCTATATTACTACTTGATTCATCTGTATTCATAATTGTATTATGTAATAAAGCATTATCAACAAGCAGAAGCATATGTTATTGCTGGATTTGAAAATTCTTATCAATATATTTTAACTAACTTTTTCAGATTTCTCTATGCATCCACATATTTGAGTTGTATCAGTACACAACAGGTAATGAGAAAATATTAATTCTCTTGAATAAACATGAAGATTTAATAGTACTGATTATGAGAGATTTGAGTTTGTGAGTTCTAGTGATATTTGTAGCTAACAAAATAGTAATTCATATTTTATTCTAAATATAATTAATACATTAGTAAGAGAAAATATTGATATAAATAAAAGAACTTTAAAAACTTACTATTTTTTTGCTAGCAGTCTGATGCTTTGCAAGAGTTTGATTTGGGATCATCTAATAAAACAAACCAGTTTCATCTGTATTATAAATATCTTTGATTCTATATTGTGATAATAACTCATGCAGTTTTCTTCTTTCTTCAGATAAATTTTCAATTAGTGCTGAATTAGCTTTACTATGAAGCTGGAAAGCTTTTATACTATTACGCACTTTAAATCTTCTCATCTAATCATTTGACTATTGAAGAATATCCTCATCAAATTCAAAAAGAGTGACAAAATGTCCAGCCTTTTCTTTAAGAAGTGTCTCAGTTAAAATTAACCCCATAGCAGATACTTGATCAACCTAAAAATTCAAGACTCTTTCTAACAAGGGAAATTTTGGTGAATGGTACTTGTAAGTTATTTCTGACATTTTGCCCAAGTTAATATTGTACCAGTGGTCTGACTTTTTTAATATTTTTGTAATAGTTAGTTACATAATATTGAGATCAGAGTATTTTTCATTAAAATGGTTGACTATATTCTCATGGCAAGTACCTAATGATACTTTGATCCAGAATAAGCTTATTTCTTTGCACATAGTATCACTAAGTATTGCATATTTTTTTTTCTTGTGAATTGAATCTTTAGATGACATATTATAATAGAAAGACCAAAGAAAAAGATAAAAATATAACAATGAAGTATTTTAGTCAGGGATGGGTAAATAAAATTGTTTAAGAACAGAGATAGAGTAAAAATAGAGCAAGGATATAAGAAATTATTAGCAATTAAAATAAAATAAGCAATTAAAGAGATTTAAAGTATATCATATAAAAAAGTTCTAATAAAGAATCTTGCAAGTAGCAAGGGTAATTTTTCACTAATTTATTATCTCGTAATTTATAACTAAATTACTTGGCTAATCATAATTAATGTCATGTATTATGTTCTTATTCAAAGAGAAACTAATTAGAACTGAGACTGAATAATATGTTTATGTTCTTATAAATTATAATGTCACGTACTATATTCTTACTGAGAGGGAGGCTAATTAGAACTAGAACCAAATAATATATTCTATGTTCTTATTATTAAAATGTTTTTATATAGAGTTAAATTATATATAAAATCAATTTGTTTTTAGAAATAAGATTCTTATAAATAAATATTCTTATATAGTGTATTCTTATAAAGGAGTTTGACTGTACTTATATGATAGTATCTCTGGAAGATGCTTATTAATGAATAAATAAAGAAATAAATGATTATAAATGAAATATATAAATTTAATAATATACTAGCTAAATTAGTAAAATAAAAAAAAAGAGAAATTCTACTAAGAAAATTATCTATAACTAAAATAACTTAAATATATCATATAACTTTTCTTGGCATAATCAGGTGATTGTGATGCAGTAAGTTGCATGTAATACAATATGTAGTGCAGTAATGATCTGTGAAATAAAATATAAATCTAATATTATTCTAATTTTGTTATATTTAATAACTTATCTTAATAAAATATTTTATAATTAATATTTTTTTATTAAATTTTTTTTGAAAATTTGATTATAAAAAATTTAAAATACTTTTTTAATTTTTTTTATTTATTATTCAATAAATATTTATTTAAATTATATAAAATTTTAAATATATATACTTGATAATTTAGTAAACAAGTTTACTTAAGATTAATTTGTAAAATAATAATCAAATTTATTTATAATAATTTATTTAAGTTTTCTTATTATTAAAAATTTTTAATTTTAAAAATATAAATTATAAAAAATTTTAATAAGATAAATATTTAAATAATCTTAAATAAAGTTATTTATTATATTTTTAAGTATATATATTTAAATTTTTATATTATTTAAATAAATATTTATAAAAAAATTAAAAAATTTGATTTTTTTTATTATATATATATTATTAATAATTATTATATTCTAAATAAATATTTTTTATAAGTTTATACTCTTATTAATATATTTTCTATTTAATATATTATATTCTTTATTTAAATAATTTTTTATATAAAAATAGAATATAAAAAATTTAAATAATTTATATAATATTTATAATAAAATTAAGCTTAAAATTTTAATAAAAATTTTTAAAATAAAATTTTTTAAAATTATGTATTTTTAATTTATAAATAATTTTATTTTTTTATTATAATTAAAAAATTAAAAATATTATAATATAATATATAATTAAATCTAATATTTATAAAATTTTTGAAAAAATTTTAATTTTAATAAAAATAAATTATATATAAATTTATAATATTTTAGTAAATAAATTTATTTACTAAATCTAATAATTTAAAAAATAGTTATATTTTTTATAATTATATTTTTTGAATTTTTTGATTATTAATTATAATTAAAAAAATTTTTTATTATTATATTTTTTAAATATAATAATTATAAAAAAATTTAATTATATATTAAATTATAAAGATTTAAAACTTAATAATAATAATATAAAATATAATATATAATTATAAGTTAAAATATAAAATTCTTTATTTTAGATAAATTTTAAATTATTTTAATAATTTTTATTATATTATTAAAATTTATTAAGTAAAAGACTTTATTATATAATATCTCAAAATTAATAAATTTTAAATATTATTTAATATAAAATTTTGATCAAAATTTAATTAATAAAAATTTAATTCTAATTTTAACTTTTATTTAATAAAGTAATTAATTTAAATTAAAATTATATAAATCTTTATAAATAAATAAGATTTTTTTATTAATAAAATGAATTAATATAATTATATAAAACTTTATTAAAATAAGTATTAAATAATAATATTATAAAAATATAAAGAAGTTTTCAAAAAAATTTATCTAAAAAAATTTATAAATTAAGAAATAGATATTTTTATAAAAAATTAAATATAAATTATAATTTAAAATATTATAAATTAAAATATAAAAATTAATAAAAAATTATTATTATTATTATTATAAATTTTATCTAAATTAATTAAATATATACATGTATTTAATTTAATATTTCAAAATGATTTAAAAAATGATCTGAATATTAATCAGATTATTTCAGATTTATTTTTAAAAAAAATTTTTTAATAAAAAATAAAAGTAATTTAATTATATCTTTATATAATTATATTCTTTATAATTACAAGTTTTTTCAATTTTAATTATTATTAAATATAGAAAATTTGATCTTTATATAATTATAATCTCTTTATAATTACACTTTTTACCATATGTATTAATCTTATTTTTAATAAATAATAGATTTAACATCTAATCATTTTACTTATGTAATATAACTATAATAGTTTTCTTTAAAAAAATTTAATTAAGAACATATTGAAAAGTTATTTGAAGATTAAAATTATTTGAATCTAATTAAAAACTAAAATTTGAAATTTAATGATAGAAAGATAATGTATAATATATACCACATCAAGAAAAGTCCAATAAGATTGAATTGCTCAAAGAATTATCTTCATATTTTTCAATTTAAAGTTTATTGATATATTATCACCATTATTAAAGAAATAAAAAGATAATTAGAATCAAAAGAGAGTTACATATTAATTAATACGTATTTTCAACAAAAAGAATCAAAATAAATATCCCAAATGAAAAGATGAGGAACTATATCAAAAACTTTCGAACCCATCAAACATTCCTTATCTTCAACGGGTTCATCTTCCACCTTTTCGTCATTACAATAAAAGTTTTCTTGTTTACTTTTAGACCAAATTTCGTGTCGATGGTGTATAAATCCAACTTTATGTGGTGGTAAATGTGGGATTACGTCATTTCGATGCGTGATTCTTTTTTTTAATGACAAAAAATTCGACATTTTCGTAAAATAAACCAAAAATCAAGAATAATAATACATATTTGCATTACCTTGAAATAATATGATTTTGACTCCCTTTCGAAAATTCAGATTCCACTAGTTTGGCAAATTTATCATTGCCAACACGTGGTTCACCAATTGTCGTTATCCGAATATCAAATGGCACACCAATTGTATTTTCTTCAAGAATTGGATCTAAAATATATCTCTTCACATCTAACCCTAGAAATATTGCTAATACGCCACCCTATTAATTATTATTAAAAAGTCGATAAATAAATATAACCTATTAAATATAACCTATTAAAAGTCTCTTCAAACTCTAATACTAACCAAGGAATGGCCACTAATTATCAAATTATAACCACGACATGAGTTCTCAGCTCTGTTTAACATCCATTGTATTCTCCATAATAGACTTTCCCTGACGCGATCGTAGATTTGATAAAAGCCACCGTGAACTAAAGCGCCTAATTAGATTATTAGAAATGAAAGATTATCACTTAATTAGGAGCATATTAAAAAATTGAAGAATATTTAATTCAAACCTTCTGAATTTGGATATTCGTAATCAAGCTGTAAATATCTTAAATTGTATAACCAACTTACCCACTCATGCGTTCTTTATTTGAATTTGAGAATTCAAATTAATTCAAAACTTATCATTCGACTCAATTGAACAATGCTTAGAAAACTCACCCCCGAAATCCGACAATAATCTCTTTTGCCTCCCGGTCCACACCAAGAAAACCAAATGCACCTTTTTTACCATCATGAAATATCGATTCAACAGTGACATTGCCAACACATCGATTTCCACACGACCAAGTTTCCAAATGAGATTGAGAACAGTAACTAGCGGCCGCGTATTTAACATATTTTTTCAAAGTATCAACTTCTGTTTCATTTAGCAGTTTTTTATTAGGATTTGTTTCATTGTCATTTTTATTGCCAAGGCTATTATTATTATTTATGCCACTAATATTTGAAATTTCTTTTGTGGTATAATTTCCAATAAAGCTGTTATTATAAATATCAGGATTTTTATTCATATCTTCAGTCGCGTATTCCATTATGGGATTTTTTAACAAGAAGAGAAGAAATACTGTCACGGTTATCACAAATAATAGTATTTTCATGATTTAACGAAATAAACGAGCAATGTCAATTCTTATTTCTTCCAGTTTATTGAGATTTTTATTTGGAGTTCTCTCGCTCGTAATTTAGGAGAAATTGTAATTATTTAATGAAACAATGATGGGAAATATTTCAGTACAAGTAACTTATAAACAAAACAAATATTCCTTGTTGCGGATAATGACTTGGGGTTGGGGGTTATAATAACGATAAGACATAACGATAATCAGTATTAGCGTTAGAGTTACTTACAATAGTTACAACGCGTGATCCATGCATGAAACCACTGTTTTTTGTGCTACAATTGAAAAAGGTAAAGTGTCTGTCTTACATATAATCACACCCCTCGGACCAGAAAATGGCAACGAGAAGGGTTTGTGATTTTATGGAGGTCAAATTTCGCTCAGTAAAAAAAACAATTTTAAGTAATAATAATAATAATAATATTTTTTACTACACTGTAGCATTTTGTAAATACACATATTTAAATAACAGGTTACAAATACAATCCTTCAGGTGTACCCTCTGATTTACGATATAAGACTTTCTCGCGCGCTTTCCGGAAATCTTCTGCGACAACTTTCATACGTCGTTCACGAAGCGCCAGCAGTCCTGCTTCTGTGCAAATGGCCTATATAAATCATACCCAAGAAATAAAATATTAATCATCAAATAATATTACTTTATTAAACATGAAAGGAGAATTTTTACTTTGATATCAGCTCCCGACAAGTCATCTTTCGACATGACAAATTCTTCCAAGTCAACATCCTCAGCTAATGTCATTCTACCCGTATGTATATTAAAAATTCGACGTTTTGTTTTCACATCGGGTAATGGGAACTCGATCTTTCTATCAATACGTCCTGGACGAATCAATGCCGGGTCAAGTGACTCGATACGATTCGTTGCCATGATAACCTAAAATTTGATCGGAATTAGTTAATTTTATTATAAAAACTTACTTTCCCATGAAAACGATACCTTAACGTCCCCTCGTGAATCAAATCCATCCAATTGATTTAACAGTTCCAACATGGTTCTTTGGATTTCTCTCTCGCCACCAGAATTAGAATCATATCTATAGGACGTTTCCGTAACCAATCGTGAAATTCAAGATCATTACGAGGTTTAGAATTGAATTTAAATTTGCTTGCCTTTTTGTTCCTATAGCGTCAATTTCATCGATAAAGACAATCGACGGTGCATGCTCCTCTGCAACACGGAAAAGTTCACGCACTAATTTAGGGCCATCACCTAAATACTTTTGAATTAATTCTGATCCAACCACACGAAGGAATGTCGCGGAAGTTTGATTTGCTACAGCTTTTGCTAACAATGTTTTCCCTAATAGTTTATGAATTAGGATTTATTAATCTTCAAAATTTATTGTAATTATATTAATCATATTTTAAAGTATATTTATTTCAAGGAAAAATTTACCCGTTCCAGGTACACCATATAATATAACCCCCTTCGGAGGTTTTATTCCCATTTCTTCATATAATTCTGGATGAGTTAATGGTAATTCGACGGATTCTTTAATTTCCTGGATTTGTTGTTCTAAACCACCAATATCAGCGTATGATTCCGTCGGTGCTTTCTCTAGTTTCATTACGCTAACCATTGGATCGGTATCATCTTGAAGTACACCAACAACAGACATGGCCTTATGATGCAACAAAATGGAACATCCCGGTTCCAATAAATCTTTATCCACAAATGAAAGAATGCTGACATAATATTCAGGACCCGTTGATGATGATACAATTGCGTGGTCATCATCAATAATTTCCTCTAATGTACCGACACCCATAGGTGATCCACGTAAATCATCTACACGAGTTCTTTCTTCCTGTTTTATCCATATTAAATTAATTCACCAATCATACTGGATATTTTTAAATAAAATTCCCGGAAAAATTCTACCTGAGCTTTTTCTTCTTGTGGCTTCAAACGTTCTTGATTTTGAACAAATTCCTCTTCCAATAATAAATAATCTTTTATGCGTTCCATTTTAAGAAGTTTCAAGCGACACCGAGTTGTAGGAAATACTAGAATTCAAATTTTTAAAATTATCATAATTTTGAAAAATTGATATTTGGAAACTTCGTATTACAGAAAATGAATTTTACCTGCAGGTAATTTTGAAGTGGCATCCACTCCACGTCTTTTTTTTTTTCCTACACGAGTCGGAAGTGGTGGTTCCCATTTTTTTTTTTTATTTTTGTTCTATGAGTTCGGATCAAAAGAAAAATATGTAAAAAATCACGAATGCATCAAAACATTCGATCAAACAAAAATAAAGATTTTTTAACTTGGTCGTCTTTCTTATTTCCGTCTTCACCGGGCCCAAGCGGCGGAAGTCCAGATTGTGCGTTCCCCTATGATTAATTTTTGAATAAAAGAAAACGTTAATATAAAAGAAGAGAGCTTATCCAAGAAATTAAACACATTATTCTTTGTTATTGATCGAATGTGTTCCAGAAAATCATTTAGATCTTCCACGTTGTATCTTTTAATTAAACTAAAAACTTATATTTTCTCTCAAGAAAGTAAATTACGAGCTTATAAACCACTAAAAAACGAAAACTTACCATAGTTGTAACTAAGAAGCTGGCTAAAATGAAAAACCAAAAACTCGAGACAAAAAGTTTGAAATTATTTGACGAAAGAATCTCGATGCATTAATGTGGATTACGTTAGCTGATTACGCGTCAATTTTCATTATAATGCATTTTACCATTTATGCAAAATTTTTGTTATATAAAATCAAATAAAACAGCTCTTATTCATAACACGAAATGGATGCGGACATAAATCAACTATCAGACAGCTACCAAAGTTTTAATGTTCAAACAGAAGACGAAAAGCTCGTTACACAATTTGAAGAATTAGCTTCTTCAAATACCCAAACCTCTTCAAAGCGAGCTACACATCGAACATTTGGAGTTATGTTACCTACTTCAACAAAAGCAGATAAGAAACTCAACTTTGAAACGCATCGTGATGATTCGAAAAATACACAACATTCTTTGATATTTGCTGAACGAGAAATTAAAAAAGAAAAATCTAATGAAGAAGGTGAAGGATGGGGCGATTTAGCTGAAACTACAATTTCCGAGCACCACCAGTTTGGATTTACTTCATTATTGTCATCTGAACATCTTGGCCTTGGAAATGTGAGAATTTATCCTGATCAATATTCTAAAAGAAATTGGTACAATCTGAGTAGCCCTGGTGATTCAAGTGGTCTGGATGACGAAACGACATTGTTCCAAAGAGAAGATAATGAAGGAGATAAAATAAAAAGTGATTTCGGATTTGCTAAATATGCAAGAGAACAAAAACATTTTGGGCAGGATCTTTCTTTGATGAATCAAAAAAGTCATTGATCAAATCAGGTGAATATCTTTTTCATGTTGTATTTGTTGGCTTTATTTTAATTACTTTTATAAATTTAAAGAATTACTCGACGATAATCAGATGCTATTGTGTTATCAATATGAATGGTAATGGAAATTGAATTAGAATTAGAATTTCATATTTGATGTTTGTTTAGTCTTTCTCAAGATATATTAGAATACAAATCAAATAACATTTACATCGAATCACTATTGAAAATGAGGCAATAAATAAATAAAATATTGATTTTTAATTAACTTTTTTTATTGATTTGATAACTTTAATGCTTGATCAATTTACTTTAATGCCAAATAATATAATAATACTACATGAACATGATCTTAATTATGTATTATAAATTTAAAATTCATTTCTTGTATAATTTTTTTAATTAATATTATATAAATTAATATCTTTATATATATAGTTATTCTATATAGTTATATTTTATAATAATACTTTTTATAAAAAATTTGATCTTTATATAATCTTTTTTAAGATTAAGTTCATATTATTTAAGAATGTAATTATATAAAATAATGATTTTATTAATTATATCAAACTTGAATAATTCTTGTTTTATTAGATATAAATCTTGTCTATTTACTTCTTTCTTTTAATTATTTATTAATTTAATGCTTTATATATATTAATTATAAGTTTTTTATAATTAACTATTTTTTTTATAATATTATTTTTATTTATATAAAAATTTATTTAAGAATTTGAAATAAATATTAATTTTAATATCTTGAGTAATTAGTTGTGTTTCTAAGTATTTATTGAGTGATAACTATATTAATATTTATTTAAGAATATCTGGATTATATTTTTTAAACTATTGTAAGGTATCTAGTAGTTTTTTGTTTGATTTTGACTAACTTAGATTAGACACTTCTACAAGTAAGTCTTATTATTTTCTTTATTTTTGTTTTGTTAGATATTTGCTTTTTTTATCTTTAAACTCAAATATTTCTTGTTATAATTTATAAAGATATATTTATATTTATTCTGTTAACAGATTAGTTTTATTTTCAATTAAAGTTGCAAACTCTTTTCTTATCTTGATTTAGATTTTACTATATATTACTTCTTGATAAAAATAATAAAATTTTTCTTAGATAACTTGATAATTAGAATTAATATAATTTTCAAGATATAATTCAGTAAATAGTTAAGCAAAAAGTCTTTCTCTTTCTACTTTAGTTTCTCTAGTTAGATCCACTTTGATATATTGTAAAATTATTTTTTTAATTACTTTTAATTCTCTACTGATTTCAATTTAATTCACAGAGGATTCTTTATTTAGATTTGAGTTGAATTTGATAATTCTTTGAAATTGTTTTTTTATAGAAAGAATATCAAAAAGTTATTATCTTTTTAATATGAATTTAATATGAAGATGAGTATTAATTCTAATATTACAAAAGTACATAATAAAAGTAATCATATACTTATAATGATATTGAAAGAGTCTTTAAAAAATTTATTGATAAGAATATAAATATTATTATTTAAAGACAGATAATAATAATATTCTTGTTATGACTAGTTAGAATATAATCTAATTTTAAAATATAATTTTAAGACAGATATAATAATCAGTTTATTAACAATAAATCTTATTATATAATTTAGATTAGCCAAAAATCTGAAAATATAATAATAATGCTAATCAGAATATAAAAGAAGCTTTATTTATATATTAATTTGAAAAGCACTTTAGAAATCATGACTAACTTTATGAATAATAATAATAATTAAAACAAAGAAAATAATTATCTAATAAAAGTATAGAATAATATATTATAACTATTAGAGAATTAATTAGAAAAGTAGATCTAACCAATATCTATCCAGATTATTTATGTGTATTATACTTTATAAATAGGCTCAGACCAGAAATTAAGTTCTTTGTAAATTCAACTCATCTTGCAATACTAGAAGAAGCAATTAATATAGCAATTACCTATAGTTCTAATTTTTAATAATATAATACTATATCAAATTTCTTACTAATATTATTTATAGATATGGTGTGAATGATCTAAAGCTATCAAGTATTTTAAATTATAAAGACTCTACATATAAATATATAATCACAAAAATAAATGCATTGCTAGATAGCCTTGGATAAGATTTATAAAGCAATGCATTTTTTTTATAAAATATATTAATAATTTATTAAGTAGTTAGAATTTTTCTTTGGTCACTTCTAATAAAATCTAATATAAAATTAGAGAAATTTTTAGCGCTGAAACTCACATATTATCACGTGAATAAGATGATTATTGCATCAAATCTTTCTAAATTTGGAATAACTTTTGGACTTTCTCAAGCTTTAATTAATCTATTGGCTAATTCTTTTTATTTATCTAGTGCCAAATAATTATTTTTTATAATATAACGAACAAGAAGCATGCTTGATGATATCATTAATTTATTTAAAGAGACATTAAACTTCTCAAACTCTTCTTTGCTAAACCAATCAAATAGTCAAATTAGCTTGATTATTTCATATGGCCAAACTCTTCCAAAACACTATCAGGAACTCTACGATATGATTTATACTTTTTCATGGCAAAGACAGCAGCTTTACCCAAAAGATCTTGTTTATAAGCGCTTATATATCAAGTGGATCAATATGCATAATGACGAATCTTGACCAGAGTAACTGATTCTAATACCCGCAGAATGATTTTCTTGAGACTCTTGAAAAAGTAATCATAATGCAGACATGAGTACTGCTTTGCCTCCTCCCAAAACAATTCAATAAAATTAAGTTTACAATGAAACTTTAGGTAAAAAATACACATATGGCCAGCTGTTTCAATAATCTCCTGCAGACAGTTCTGTTGAGATGTGAAATCAGGCTGTTGACCAAGAATACCAGTTGTATAACATTGCAGTTTTATTGGATCAAAAGTATATGATTTGCAAGCATCACATTTCTTTGTCAAACCTTTCACTCACAGGTCATGCTCTTCGAGAATTCATCAGATACCCTTTGATTTAATTCTACCATCAGTATTAATAAATGTTAGAATATGACGAGAACTATCAGGTATCTTGCCATCACGAAGAAGTGGTTGTTTGCTGCCATTCTTCAAATTCATCCATGAAATGATCAGGGCATCATTGGCATATGCACTGTGATTGCAACTGTTATCGAACATGAAGAGTGCAACTTTATCGGGATGTATTCTCTCAAAAATCAGAATAGCTTTGTCAACCACTTGTTTTATAAGGTCTTGATTTGTCTACCAGTCATCTCAATTAGAATCTGGATGCATAATAACATAGGCCTCAGTATGCAAAAGCTGATTATCATCAGAAAGCAAGTCATTTATAGCTTGATCCTCGGTTGAAAGGTAAAGACATTTAATTGATTCACAAATGAAATTACTCACATGGATACTAAGACCTTGTAACTTGCATTGGAGCTGGTTTTCTTTTACTGGATCCCAGAACTTGATGATACCATCATTGACATAAAAAATTGATTTGTCATGGATAACTGGAACGAGCTCAAGAACATTAGGTGAAAGTATTGGCAAGATAATTTGATCTATATTCTCTCTCTTGTATACTGCAATCCGAAGCCGTAAATTCATTATTTGTTCTAAGAATTGGTTTCAATAAGTCACCACATCATCACACTCATGGCCATCAAAATAAATGTTTTTTGAATGGTCCTTATAATCCCAGCCAAGTTAATATAACCATTTCTGAGCCATTATTTTATCAATCTTTCTTTTTGTCTCGATCCCAAGATCAGGTAGAGCCTCATTCTCAACAAACTTGATAAATTCATGGATAATTGCTATAAACTTGTTCACACACAAATATTCAATAATACGCATCTTAAAAACTTCATCAGATAGGAGCAACATAGTTTTTGAGTGACAGTCACGATGTGATGTAAGGATTTTATCTTTACTTGACTATTGATTAGCCCATGAACAAATAACTCATCCATATCATGGACCCCGATTAACACTGCAAGCAAGAAGATTACTAACTGATAGTTTAGAGAATCCTTGATCTTGGACGAGATAAAGAAATTAGCTTACTATATCAAGCTGCATATCAGACTTTTCTTTAGCAGAGTATCAAGAGATGCCAAAGTAAACGTATTCTCGTTATTATTGGAATTAACTGTCTTCTCAAACAAAAGCTCGTTATCACTGGAATTAATTATCTTCTCAAACAGAAGCTCATCATCACTGGGGTTAGCTGTCTTGATAGGAAACCAGTTGGTAATTTTATTAGAACCAAAAGCTGCCTTCCTTAAGACCACTCTTTTATTGCGTAATATTAATTTAGCAAAATCTTTGTAAACTAGCTTCCATCTCTTCATTATCTATACGTTCAATTATCTTGCATTCTTGATGAGTTCTTCTTGCACACTTTATTTTAATTCTCCCAACTCTTTTATGAATTGGTCATCATCTAAAGGCTCATTTTCACTTTTCATCTGAATAGTATCATCACTTGATTTGTTGGCATCTGATACTTCCTCTTCTCATTTTGACTTGGTATCATTCTAGCGCTTTTTGGTAGTCATTAAGCAGTGTCTAGCATGTTTACTTCATTTAGGTATGAGGAAGAGAAAATACGTCTTAAGAGAGATTAATAATATAGCAAAAAAGGCTTATATCATAGAAAAGAAAGATAATAACATAGAGAAGAGATTTATTTATTATTTTATAATTATGTAGTGAAGAAAACATTGCCTTCTGAACAAGTCTTTTTATATAGCAAAAGAGAGAAATAACTTATCTTATGAGTCTTTAATATGAGTCTCCTAAATAATATTTAAAAGTCTTCTAAATAATTTTTTAAGAGCTCAATTGCTTCTGATATATTTTCTGATATGATGCATCTATCACATGATCATATCATAATACATGCATTCCAAATTTTAGCAGTGGCGCAGCACTTGATATCTTTAGGCTGTTCATACCATATTAAAATCAATAAGTTAATA